GCGAAGTCCCAGGAGGAGAGTTCGGCCGATACAAGTGCAGGCCTGGTCAGAGCTCTGGCAATTACAAAAAGCATTTGTCAAAACGACTCCCCGACAGCGGTCCGTATTATAGAGCCGATATCCACCTTGCCTGCGGCAGCCCCCGCCACCGCGCCGCGCCGTTGCAGCAGGGCCCCCCTGGGAGGCAGAATCGAAGCTTCTGGATGCCTCCTGGAGGCAGGTTGGGGCCTCATATGGCCCCTTGGGGCTCCTTGGCTGCGTGTCGGGTGCCTTTCGGGCCTCTCAGGGGGGCTCCTGGGGGTCTCTTGGGTCGGGGGTGATGTGTAGCGTTGACCCCCCCCCCCCCTCGGCGGCCACGAGCCTCGCGGGGAGCGTCGACCAATGGCGCTCCCCAAATTCGCGGGGGACTTGGCGAGCAATGACAGAAAACACGATTCTCGTGAAATGTGTCGGACCATACCCCCAAATTAATACGGGTTTCCCTTCGAAAGTCACGATCCGCGCGAAGGGCGCAAACACATGACCTCCGCTGTTTTATATGAATGGGTTAGCGGGATCGTCGGGCCTAGAAAACAGTCGAGCAACCTTACGGGATGGAACCATAACGCATTATAACGCGCCTCAACGTGCGAAGTCACGGCTGCGGATTGCTGCGAATATCAGGAGGCAGTCCCATCGACCGAGCAGAAATATTGTGTTCAGACAAGTGTTCAGGACCATTGCGCAGGAAGTTAATTCAGACCCAACTTGCCTCGACCTTCTGAGAGATGGCCCCGATGAGGAAACGGATTCGGTGCTTTCACTTCCGAGTTACCGCAACCACCCGTTTGTGATTGCGGTTATAGAGGCAGACGAAGCTTTGCCTCTGCCGCTCCCCGTCTATTTGGACGGCGTGCGATATTCGGGGCAGGCGGCTGGGCGGACGGATTGCTCGGCTCCGCCGTGCCGCCAGGCAATGCAATGTATCGCCCGTATGTTCCTCTCATCCCCCTCCTCTCTCCTCCGCATGTCCCCTCTTGCCCTTGTCATCCCGCCCGGCCCCTCCCCCCTCGATCCCACGTCCCGCCCCCCATCCTCCCTCCTTTTCCTTTTTTGTGGGCCGATGTGGTCAGGGCAGCAGTGTGCCAGCAACGTTCGGCATGGACGCCGCGCGCCACACGCGAGTAGTGCCGCCCATTGTGTGAGGGGGGGGGCGTGCGGACAGCATACTTGGCGTATCAGTCATAAATCTGGTCACAAACAAACGACATTTATGTGGTGTGTTCAGGAAGGATTCGTATTGCTCGTGCGGTTGCAGCGGGCACTGCTCGGTGCACGGCGTGCTCGAAGTCGTCGCTTGGCAATTGCGCAATTTAGTCAAAGGCATTGTCCCTCAGTGCCGCCATGACGGCACACCTTGGTTTCGGCGAGATAATGTTCCTGACGCTGGGCGCAGCTTAGGATTTAAAGCAATGCTCTTACATATAAGAGGGGATTGGGCAGAACATTGCGATTCGTTAGGCTTGCCTGCGTGGGGGAGTACCTACCATTCATGTCCAATATGTAGTATTTCCAAGGAGCTGAACGTAGAATATACTTTGAATAGAGACGTAGCGATGTTGAAGTCTGAACAGGATTATTTCGACTGTTGTAGAAGATGCATGGTATATATAGAGATACAAACAGATGCATATAGGGATGCGATCGCAGCATGTTTGAAAGGAGACGGTGAGACTAAAGGTAGGGTCCTGACGGCCTCTTTTCCTCTGTTAGGGCTCGAGGCAGGGGATCGGCTTGAACCATGTTCGTCGTTGTTGGTATGCAAGAAATTCGAATCGAACGACACGCCGTTCAAGGCGTTATTCTGGCGTGCAGGTCGTGACAGATATAAGCGAATCGTAGATTTATGCCACCACAAGAGCCCCCTGTTTGATCGGTCGCTCGGCACATCGCCAACCAGATCCTTAGGATTAGACATGCTACATTGCGTCTTCCTGGGGTGTCTTCAAAGGTGGGTGGCCGCTGCATTGCTCAGGATACTAGCGTCCAACCCGTGGAATGTCAGGCCCGAGCTACGATGTAAACGCCTTGAAGCCGACATGCACGTGTTTTATGACCGTACCGATGTGCCGCACGAGCGGCGATTGGGCGTGCTGAATGATAAAATGTTGGGCGGCATCAGTTCCGACGAATGTCACGGCGGCCTGGCTCTCAAGATGAAGGGTGCTGAAACTGGTATCATGCTAGACTTTTCGCTTGACAGGCTTGGTGTCCATCGTAATATCCCTTTCCGCTCTGAGCTTCTGGCGGCTGGTTTGGCAATTAGAGAATGGATAACTGTGGTTCGGACTTCGAAGGTGTGCCTGTTGGTCAGCCAATACCAGAAGCTGCGAGATTCTTGTCGCAGATTTATTTCAAACTGCCAGGCAGCCAAGGTTTCCCCGACGCCGAAGTTCCACAATTTCGACCATCTGACCTCCAGGACAGTATTTCGTGTTTAATTCAACAGTTAGTTGTGTGTCTCTGTGTGGGGGGGTGTTTCTCGTCGCCGCGAGGGCTCGGCCGAACTTGGTTCGGGGTGCATGGACTAGCGCACCCCCTAGATAGTACAACACCTTCGAGAACGATGCGATGCGACATGCAGCCAACTATGTCCGACACCTGAATGCGACGAGCGAACGCACGTAGCGATGCGACATGCAGCCAAATATGTCCGACACCTGAATGCGACGAGCGAACGCACGTAGCGACGATTCAGACGAGCATGAAACAAATCCTGCCAGGGCGTATGACATGGGGAACCCACTACTGTACGACACGTCGGTTGACGAAGGGATTAACTTGGCGCTTAGATGCGCGGCCGAACGCAGCCACCCCGCCACGATCCAAGAAACTGTGTTTGAGTGTTTTATGGTCATGGGGGTGCTCAATACTAACAAACACATTTACGGTTCGAGCCACCCTGTTTTTATTGCCCAACTAGACGAAGAGTTGATCGTCAATGCTCTTGAGGAATGGGATGGCGACTCGGGGGCCGGCGGCGGCCCCAATGGCGGGAGAGGAGGAGAAGGCGTTCAGGAAACGGATTCCGACGTGGGCGGCGGAGCTAGCCGCGTCCACCGCCCCCGAGAAGGAGAAGAGAGTTGCCGCAGTGGAGAACATGGAGGATAGAATTGCCTCTTTGTTCTTGAAGTGTGATGGGGCTTGAGCCTCGGCGACGTGTCCTCCTGCCACCTCCACCCCCGTCATCACAGAGCCTCGCACCCCGTATTTCATCCTCTTTTTGAACATGTTGCAGCGTTGCCCTTGCGCGTCCAACTCCTCTTGTCCTCCGACCCGACGCCTCCCTCCTCCTCTTCCTCTTCTTCCACCTCCTGCTCCGCCTGCTCCTCCTCGTACTCATCTTCATCGTCAACCTACGATTCATCCTCCTCCTCCGCCTCCTCCTCCACCTCCTCCTCCTCCTCCTCCCTTCCCCCCCCCATCCTCCCCCCCCTCCTCCTCCTCCTCCTCCTCCTCGACGGGCTCGCGCGCAGGAGCTGGTCGAAGCGGCGAAGACGGCGACGCTCGACATGCTGGAGAAGAGCCAGATCGACCGCAAGCTGCGCACGGTCGAGCTCTTCGCGGGCACGTGCGGGGTGACGAAGGCGGTCATCGAAAGAGGAGGCGCGTGCAGACCGTTTGACAGGACTGATCAGCTGCCAATAATGAGGAGGGGGATGCGATGGGGAGGAGGGGAGAAATGAGCATCCGCACGAGGAGAGGGATGAACGGAGCGTGAGCAACGGCATGAGCGACAGCATGAGCAGCAGCAGCAGCAGCAGCAGCAGCATGAGCAGCAGCAGCATGAGCAGCAGCACAGTTGGATCCAATCGACTATCAAGTCTGCCTCCTGCGTCATCTCCCCCCGTCCCCTTCGCCTCACTTTCTTCTCCTCCGCGTCCCCTTTATCTTCTCCTCCGCGTCCCCTTTATCACCGTTCACTGCCCCCCTCCCGTCGTCCATCGCTCCCTCCTGCGCAGCTTTCTCGAGCATGCGCGCGCGCAGCGCAGGATTCTACACAAGAGCCAGGACATCAGCACCCTCGAAGGGATGATCTGGTGCGGCTACAGCGTGCTGCAGCTGTGCGTTGGAGGCTGCCTAGTCATGGCACCTGAGTGCTCTACGTGGAAGGGTAGGGGGGCGCAGTAGTGTCGCTTGGGAGCCTTGCAACTAATGGTGAGGGATGAGTAAAGAAGGGGATGATGAAAAGGGGGAGCGATGGGGGTGAAGATGGGGGAGGGGGAGGGAGGCGGAGGGGGGAGGAAGGGGGAGGAGGAGGAGGAGGAGGAGGAGGAGGAGGAGGAGGAGGAGGAGGAGAAGGAGGAGGAAGTGAGATATCCTTACTCCAGCACCTGTACGATCGTTACCGTGGGGGTGCTAGGGGTCAGGTGTGGTAAGACAAGAGATTAGAAGGGATCACTTCGCGAGAGGTGTGAGGGGTTATTGTGGCAGGAAGGATACCCTGTGAGGAATATAAGACATGTCACGAATAACAAGTTACGACGGAATGGATCCTTCGGAGTAGATGAACTTTCACATATCGAAGTTATTTCGCTCATCAGTTACCTTGCGATGATATATCGCTGCTCCTATGATCTCACTCGCTTTGTGATAGACTATAGGGCAATCGCTTCCATCACGTTACATTAGACATCGGTTCTATATCTATATGTCGCGAACTGATTCGGATATTATTCGGAGGTCAGTCGGAAATCATCTGGTAACAACTTGGAAGTCGTTCAGAAAAGGTGTGACATGCGCTTCCACCTTCATCTCTCCTCCTCCTCCGCCTCCTCTTCCTCCTTCCTCGCCTCCATCACTCCCGCCTCCTCCTCGCATTCCTCCCTCAACCCTAATTCACGTTCATCCCTGGTCATTCCCCATGCCCTTCGCCTTCCGTGGCCCTCGTCCCCCTCCCCTCCCCGCCATCCCTCCGTCCTCCTCCTTTTTTGCGCACTAACCATGCATGGAGGGCATAGGCTAATCTTCACGCGGGGCCACACCAAGCGGAGCTTGGGCAACATCGACGGCAACCACTGCCGCCGTGATGTACTGCATGCCAATGTTACTGCTATGTTTGTGTCCGATGCTTAGCAGCGTAAGCAGATCAGCCCTCGTCCTGCGACGGAGATTGCACCAGCAACGTTAGAGGCGGAGGTCGGACGGGACGAGTCTCGGAGAGCGAGGCGGGGGGTGCGGTGGACGGTTTGGTGCATCGGGTGCGCGCGACTAGTAAGGTCGTGGCTGATGATCCTCGCCGCGGCGAGGCAGGCGTTCGTGTTCGTGGAGCAGCCCAGGGGATCGATGCTATATGATCATCCCCTGGTGTCGGCTGCATTGCGTGCCATTGGAGCGCGCAGAATTGCTACTTTTCTTGGCGGGTTCGGAGGGCAGACTGTGAAGCCTCTGATCCTGTATGTGACTTTCAAAGAGTGTGCACGGCTCTCTTGCTCGATCACGCACGCTCGGAATTCAGTTGGCCATGTAAAACCATTGCACATTGAGACTGCGAAGTCGCATCGCGCCAACGCTAAGAAATCAGCTTGGCACCGAACCGTTTGGGTCACAGGCGTGAAATCCAAGGCTGCCATGAAGGCTAGTTCTGCGTGCCCGCCACCGTTCTGCGCAGCTTTAGCCAATATCATTATGGCTGCACATTGTTAGCGGAGATCGCTGCGACAATGCACGCGTGGGCTATTGTAGAAGGCACATCGCACCCTCCGCATCTTCCTCCCTCCTTACCTCCAACATCCAATGTCACCCCGCCCGTCGCCTTCCGATCACCCCCACCCTCCCCTCTGGAAAACAAGAGGTCGGCCACCGTTAAGGCGGAAATTCACAGTAGGCGTGATCATCAGCGTAGTAATACTAATATTAATAGTAGGAGCTCGGAGTTGGTAGGATGTGCTGGGTGAATCTGCAACTCTATAAGGAATGCGCGGGTTCAAACAGAGTCCGAGTTGCGAGGGTGTCTCGGGCGACGCTGCGGGGTGGATGTCGATCCAGAAAGGGGGGTCATTCTGGGTTCACACCGCAGCAGCAATGCAGCGCAAGCTGCCCCCCCCTCCTCGTTCACAGCGCGGCAATGGCTACCCCCCTTGTTCACCGAGGGGGAGAGGGAAGCGGACCCCGAGCCTGGAGAGGGCGAAGAGGCGCCGAAAGAGGAGGAAGAGGAAGGGGGGGAAGAACAGGAACGAGGAAGGCGGCAAGGAGGAGACGGATGATGAGGAGGAGAAGGCATAGGAATAATACGAAAAGGCGTATGATGAGGAAGAGGATGGCGAAGAGGAGAACGAGGAGGACGACGAGAAGATCGCCCTCGCCAAAGGGCTGCAACGCGGACGCAATGGCGAACCCCTCGAGGGAAGAGGCCCGTGAATATCGAATGGCCTTCTGCTTATCCCGCCACCGTGCCTGGGTAGGGGGTCAGAGGCCTCATGGATGTTGGTTGGGATATCGTGGTTGACACCTCTGGAACTTCTGGTGACCTCTAGGGTGCCTCGTGGGGCTTCTTGGGGGCCTCTTCAGGGCCTCTTGGGGCCTCTTGGGTGCCTCTTGGGGGCCCCTTGGGGCCTCTTGGTGGCCTCTTGAGTGCCCCTTGGAGCCTCTTGTGGGCCTCTCGGGGCCTTCTGGTGCGGGGGGGGGGGCGCTCGAGTTCGGGGCTCCCTCGGAGGCCGCGATCCTCGTGAGGGGTGTCAAAAAATAGCGTCCCCAGAGTCACGCGGGAAGGCGCGGGGGTCACGCGGGAACACGCGCGGGGTCACGCGGAAACTGAACGAATCCTCAGGATTGAGGACTGACGCTCAGGGGTGAGACACAAAACCTTAGGATACGCCCACTCCGTGCCCAGAGGCACGGTGGCGGATAAGAGGCGGCGGTCTGAGCAAACACGAGAGGTCCTGGAAGACAGGGGGCACCGTCGGCTGGAGGAGGAGAGGCGGAGGGGGATCGCGGAAGATAATGTTCATGCTCATCTAAACGAGTAATTACTCCGCACCCCCCCCCCCGTTCCATGCCCCACTCGTCTCGCTGGAGCTGCTCGAGTCGTCGGCCATACGGGCCACACTCCCTCGCCGTCTTCGTCGTTGATCGGCGTCGTCGGGGGAAAAGGAGGAGGGAGGAGGAGGAGGAAGGAGGAGGAGGGAGAGGAGAGGAGGAGGAGGAGGAGGAGAGGAGGAGGAGAGGAGGAGAGAGGAGAGGAGAGAAGAGTAACGATTGAGGGAATAGGGGAGAGGAGGAGGAGGAGGAAGAGGAGGAGGAGGAGGCAAAATGGCCCAAACTCAAGCGCCAATATTTTCAAACTATTGACGCCCTCTTGTTGGCTTGGACCCCCCCCCTCGGAAGAGGAGGAGGAGGGGGGGAGAGAGGAAGGGGGGAGGAAGGAAGGATGATGATGAGGATGGAGGACGAGGGTGAGGAATTAGCATAACCATGGAACGTAAAAAAGAAAACGACACACGACAATCATGAGGCTCGTGCTTCGCGGTCTGGACTGAACGCGGCGCAAGTTTACGTGGATAGCTGTACGTAGAACTAGTTTTGCGTACTGGATTCATTTTTTGGCTTAGGTCTAAAACTGTGTAAATAAAGTACATGTACATATATACATCAAGATACGCACGTGGATCAACTTATGCACGTACATGTGTAGTTGTAGATCTATTTACCTTGCATACACACGTGGATCCATTTATGCACGTACATGTGTAGTTGTAGATCTATCTACCTTACATACACCGAGGTTCTATAATATAGATCCCTGCACCCTCTGGGTCTCAAGCGAGGGCGCCGGTTTGGGATTCGTCGGCGGATCCACCGGATCTGTCCGGAAACGGTGCCGGAGGCCGCTCTGGGCTCCTCTGGGCACCTCCCCCGGGGCCGGGTTTGTGAGGATGTCTCAAGCGAGGGCGCCGGTTTGGGATTCGTCACCGGATCCAGCGGATCCAGCGGATCCACCGGATCTGTCCGGAAACAGTGCCGGAGGCCGCTCTGGGCTCCTCTGGGCACCTCCCCCGGGGCCGGTTTTGTGAGGATGTCTCAAGCGAGGGCGCTGGTTTGGGATTCGTCACCGGATCCACCGGATCTGTCCGGAAACGGTGCCGGAGGCCGCTCTGGGCTCCTCTGGGCACCTCCCCCGGGGCCGGTTTTGTGAGGATGTCTCAAGCGAGGGCGCCGGTTTGGGATTCGTCGCCGGATCCAGCGGATCCACCGGATCTGTCCGGAAACGGTGCCGGAGGCCGCTCTGGGCTCCTCTGGGCACCTCCCCCAGGGCCGGTTTTGTGAGGATGTCTCAAGCGAGGGCGCCGGTTTGGGATTCGTCGGCGGATCTGTCCGGATCTGTCCGGAAACGGTGCCGGAAGCCGCTCTGGGCTCCTCTGGGCACCTCCCCCGGGGCCGGTTTTGTGAGGATGTCTCAAGCGAGGGCGCCGGTTTGGGATTCGTCGGCGGATATCCACCGGATCCACCGGATCTGTCCGGAAACGGTGCTGGAGGCCGCTCTGGGCTCCCCTGGGCACCGCCCCCGGGGCCGGTTTTGTGAGGATGTCTCAAGCGAGGGCGCCGGTTTGGGATTCGTCGGCAGATCCACCGGATCCACCGGATCTGTCCGGAAACGGTGCCGGAGGCCGCTCTGGGCTCCTCTGGGCACCTCCCCCGGGGCCGGTTTTGTGAGGATGTCTCAAGCGAGGGCGCCGGGTTGGGATTCGTCGGCGGATCCACCGGATCTGTCCGGAAACGGTGCCGGAGGCCGCTCTGGGCTCCTCTGCTCCCCGCGCCGGGGGTGAGGATGACGGTAGTTCCACAGAAACTCTCTCAAATTATTAGATGTGAATGTATGAATGTGAATATATATATATATATATATATATATATATATATATACATACATGAATATGTATATTCATACGCAGCAAAGGGGATCATCTCGAAGACCTAATGGGGCATCCATCCCCCCCAGCTCCCTTATTACCAGGAGATTGATTCCATGAGATAGCCTGTGTGACATTGTGAGCACGGGTCTTCTCAGGCATGGCCTGTCCGAGCGGAGTTCAACATGAAACTCGAGAGCTCGGGAGAGGGTGAGCTTGGTGCGTCTGCCCGGCGCGCGAGTCAGTAATGCACGGACACTAAAACGAATTACCATTTCGGGCTCAGGAGAGGGTTCCGGGTTGTTCATCACATTTGGGTCGGGGAACCTCTTCGAAGCCGAGCCTCGCCGCTGCCGTTGCCAGACAGGCCCATTCGGTCCTCATTCAGCGTTCCTTGTGGTACCACGATGACTTCGCAGTGGGAGTTTTTTTCCGTGCCACCGCGGAGGACTTGCTCGGTTCATGGCCGCGGCCTGGTGCGCGTCCAGTGCGCAGCTTGCGCCGAGAGCGAGACACTTCCTTCCTATACCCGCTGCCTCAGGGACAGTCGTCCGTTGATACGCCTCAGGAATGAGCAGGAAGAGCTTGCTTCTTTGTCCCCTGGCGATGGCGGGCTTGACCCCGGGGGGCTTGGGAGGAGGGGGCTGGTCACGATGCGATTCGCGCTGACGCCGTCCAGACATGCCTACGACGGCCAATTTCCAGACGGCGCGGACGTAACAGGGAGGGAGGGAGGGGCGGTGGGGGGGGCTGGTCAGGGGCGTTCTCGCGAATACTGCAGACATCGTTTCCCAGCCGTACGTGTACATTCATGGGTTTGTTTGGTTTTGCGAGTGTGCATTGCGCGAACATTCCTAAGGCGAGGCCGGCCTCGCGGACCAGGGGCCTTGTCCATGCATGTCAGGAGGGAAAGAAACACACAGACACAATTGATCGGCGATTCACCAGAAAATATTGGAAAATATGGGAAGTGGGGGGGGAAGACAAAAACCCAGAAAATATTGGAAACTATAGGGAATTATTACCTAACAGCTTTTGCTGATAGGTTTCTAGTGGTGTCAAAAGAGAGCAGCAGATGACTCCACAGGGGGGTCGGGTCGGGGCGGGACCCGGGGAG